AGGAAGGAAGGAAGGAAGGAAGGAAGGAAGGGCTACAGAGAAGCTTTCAAACCAACAGGACAAGAAGGTCCCTCCCCAGTGGCACAGACCTTGTCTGTTTGAAGGGACACCAAGGTGCTGCCCTTGGTGCTGGTGAGGTGAGAAGAACTGAGGGGCTGGTGGAGCTGGGCATGGTGGCACTCACTCGGAGTCCCAGCAATCCCAGAGGCTGGGCCAGGAGGCTTGCCATTTCCAGACCAGCCTCAGCCTCATCAGGACCCTGAGCAGGCGCCTGTCTCAAAATAGAAATAGGAAAGGGCTGGGGTGTGGCTCTGTGTTCCGGCACCCCTGGTTCAGTCTTCAGTAACAACAAAACAAAGCCATGGCCCATCCCTCTCGCAGGCCCTGCAGCTATGGCAAAGGAGGTGGTGATGCCCGCGATGAAGAGGAGCTGTATTTCCACTGTGAGTCTGGGCCTGGCCTCGAGGGGCCACCTCCCTCTCCCGAGCCCCTGCTTCGCTGCTGTTGCCCAGCCGGGAAGCCTCTGCTCCTCAAGCTTCCCTCTCCTTGCCTTCTCAGTCAAAGTCCCGACACGGCGCACGTTCCTGGACCCTCAGAGCTGTGGGGACCCGCTGCAGGCTGTGCATCTGTTTGCCAAGGAATTGGACGCGAAAAGTGTCACACTGGAGAGGAGCCTGGGAGCAGGTAAGCTGGGCACCTGGAAGCCTTGATGCCATCCAGGGGTCCTACCCACTATAGAAGCCCCACCCCCAGGCCACACCCAGCCTCGAAGTCCCACCTGTCCCACAAGAGCTCTCTGGAAGTGCCTCACCCACTGCCCTCCCTGCTCTAGAAGCCCCGCCCCACCCACTCTAAAAGCCCTTCCCCCATCCACTCTAAAGCCCTGCCTCCACTCTGTCCCCACCTGTACCCTGTCAACCAGCCTCCTCCAGGTCTTCAAGGTCACTTTGAGACTTCTCTGCTGGGTCCCATTCAGGGTTACCCCTGCAGGCTGCCGTGGGCAGTGTAGCTCCGAGCCTCCGTGGGGAAGTGCAGAAGGGTCTTTGTAAGCATGGGACCAGACACACCTGCATTCTGGTCCTGGCTCTTCCGTTCAGCTGTATGACCAGGGCATGTCTCTCTTCTGCTCTGTGCCTCGGTTTCTCCTCTGCAAAATGGGCGTGGCATCTGCCGTATAGGGCTGATGTGAGGACTTTGCTGCGCTCACAGTGGCCTGGCTTGCTCTCTGAGGGTCAGTCTCCTGCCTGCCCCACCTCTCTGTTCCCAGAGAAACCCAACACTCTGACCAGAGCCTGACGTTTTCCCAACACTGTCGCCAGACCTGCTGGCCAGAAGCCAGAAAGGGGCAGTATGTTAAAATAGATGTCATTGTCATAGGTCCAGGGTCATGCTGGCTTTAATAGTTTTGATGGGCTGGCAAGTGCAACATCCTCTCTTTGAAGCTTCACAGAGAAGGAAATTGAGGTCAAGAGAGAGAGAGAGATGAAGCTCAAGGTCATTCTGCTAGTACTCAGGTTACTGGGATCTGAACTCAGGAGCTCCAAACCCCTGGCCAGAAACAAACCGGGACCCACAGTCACTTTCTCCTGGGCCAGGTGTTCTAGGGTGGCATCTGAGCATTGTTCCCTGCAGGGCGGTTCGGGGACTTGTGCTGTGGCTGCCTGCAGTTGCCTGGGCGCCAGGAGCTGCCCGTGGCCGTGCACACGCTGAGGGATGGCTGCTCCGACTCTCAGAGGCTCAGCTTCCTGGCTGAGGCCCTAACTCTGGGCCAATTTGACCACAGCCACATCGTGCGGCTGGAGGGCGTGGTCACCCGAGGTAGGCCCTGCGCTCCACTTCCTGCTCCCCAGCCCCACATGGGGAGTGGAAATGATGCGGGTAGGTGGGGTGCTCCTCCAGGCCCCTCCCTCAGCCACGAGAGGGAGCCCATAAAGGGCTCTCAGCTCCCTTCCATGGACTCAGGTGGCTTCTCTCCAGAGTGGCCCCTCTGACCTGGAATGACCTTTCTGCACTGTGGTGACACTGGGCAGTGGATTGCTTGGACTTCTGATGATCTTTCCTAGCTAACTTGTTGAGCTCCTGATCTCGTCCTCTTAGACACGGGCTCTTTTGTGTCTTGGCACAGGGGATGCAGGGCCAGGCTGGGTGGTGGCAGATGAGGGAGCTTGGTTTTGGTTCTGGCCATCCTAGTCAAGATGCAGTCCTGTGGGGTGGGATGTATGTGCATAGGGTGGAGCAGGTGACTAAGTGTGTGTGTTCTCCACCCCTGGCGCAGGAAGCCCCTTGATGATTGTCACTGAGTACATGAGCCATGGGGCCCTGGATGGCTTCCTCAGGGTGAGTGGCCTGGGCCCTGGGGATACTAATGACCATGTTATTCTTGGTCCCTCACTTTTCTCCTTGGTGGGGCTTGGATTGGCTTTATTCCTGATGGCCAGGCTGATCTGGTGGTCACAGGGTACACAGATGCCCAGGGACAACCAGGCGGCTTCCTTGAAGTTCACAGAGAATGAGTGCACTGCCCTGGCCTCAGCCTCCCACTCCCTCCACCCCACAGCAGCATGAGGGGCAGCTGGTGGCCGGACAGCTGATGGGGTTGCTGCCTGGGCTGGCATCAGCCATGAAGTATCTGTCGGAGATGGGCTATGTTCACCGGGGCCTGGCGGCCCGCCGTGTGCTGGTCAGCAGTGGCCTCCTTTGTAAGATCTCTGGCTTTGGGCGGGGTCCCCGGGACCGAGCAGAGGCTGTCTATACCACCATGGTGAGTGTTCCCTTCCCCCAGCCCAGCCCCCTGTCCTCCTGGTTTCTGTCCAGCTACCCTGGAGTCTCTCTCTCCCTTTTCCTACCCCTGTCCCTGCTGTCAGGGTCACTCCCCACCCTGTCCCTCCATCCTGTGGGCCTGAGCAAAGGTCAGTGGGCACCACTCTGTGGTCAGCTGGGGCTTTCCTGAGACAGAAGCTGGGGTTGGGGTGCCGCCTGGGAGGATGACAGGTGGGGCTGGGTGCAGGGTGGGGAAGCCTGGGTGTGACTCAGTTCCTCTCTGTCCTACCTGCTTGCCCATCCACAGAGTGGCCGGAGCCCAGCGCTCTGGGCAGCCCCCGAGACTCTTCAGTTTGGTCACTTCAGCTCTGCCAGTGACGTGTGGAGCTTTGGTGTCGTCATGTGGGAGGTGATGGCCTTTGGGGAGCGGCCCTACTGGGACATGTCTGGCCAGGATGTGAGTGACCTGTGTCTCAGCTCTTTGCCCTGTGACGCACCCTCTGGCCCCAGGCTCCACACCTGTCTTCTTCCTACTGACCTCCTGGCTCCAGGCCCCCTCCTCTGTCTACCTCCTTCCTGTCCTGCCTGGCCACCACCCGAGTCCTCCTTGGGATGGTGTCTGTCTGTGTGTGTGCGTGTGTGTGCTTGTGTCGGGGAGACCTGAAGCCTCCTGTCTGCTTCTCATCCTCATGACCCAGGTGATCAAGGCCGTGGAGGATGGCTTCCGGCTGCCACCCCCCAGGAACTGTCCCCCCCCCCTGCACCGACTGATGCTTGACTGCTGGCAGAAAGACCCAGGCGAGAGGCCCAGGTTCTCGCAGATCCACGGCATCCTGAGCAAGATGGTGCAGGACCCAGAACCCTCCACGTGTGCCACTGCTGCCTGTCCCAGGTACCTTCCTGCTGATCCCCGACCATGCCAGACTCCGCCACCATGTTTGTAGTTCCAGTAAACGGAGTAAGCGGAGTTGATATTAGTTGTTCCAGCACTTCATCGGCTATGCCTGTTTTCTAAGTATGCCCGCTATAGACTCTTCCCAACACTCCCAGCACTTGAACTATCCCCCCTACCCGCCTGAGCATCCAAAACCTTGCCAGGCTTGGCGCTGGGCTCAGTTGCTTCCCCCTTCTCACTGATTCTTGGGGACCTCTGCAGGAGAGCAGCGGGTTTGGGCACCAGGTCCCAGCCGTCTGACAGTAGCTCCTCTGCTCCCCAGGCCTCCCACCCCACTGGCAGACCGTGCCTTCTCCACCTTCCCCTCTTTTGGCTCTGTGGGTGCCTGGCTGGAGGCCCTGGACCTGAGCCGCTACAAGGACAGCTTCACTGCAGCAGGCTACGGGACACTGGAGGCTGCAGCTGAAATGACCAACCAGTGAGTCAAGTCAGGGCAAAGCCAGGGGTTACAGAGACCCTGCCCTGATGGGAAGCCCCTGCTTGTCCTGGCTCTGGGCCCAGCCCTGTCCAAAGAAGGGGAGGGGGAGGAGGGAAGGAAACGGGCGGGTGCTGGACGCTATCTGACCAGTCCTTGTTCCAGGGACCTGGTGAGCCTGGGCATTTCCTCGGCGGAGCATCGAGAGGCCCTCCTGAGTGGGATCAGCGCCCTGCGGGCTCGAGTGCTGCAGCTGCAGGGCCAGGGGGTGCAGGTGTGAGTGGCCCTGACCCTTCCAAGGCAGAACCCCAGGGGCCTGACCCCCAGCCCTGCCCAAGGACCCTGGCAAACTGCGCTCTAGCCGTGTGGGACTGAGCACCCTCTTCTCCTCTTGGGCCCAGAGCTGGTTTGGGGCCATAGTGTACCCCATTTCACTGCCTGCTTCTCCCACTTTCCCCTCTGAACACTTCACTGACCTGGTACCCATGGAAAAGAGGTTCAAATGCCCAGGGTGAGGGGGAGACCCCTGAGACAGTAGCAGGTGGAAATTCAGGTCTCAGGGCAGACAGGGCATGATGGGGAGGGAGACAGTAGATTTCAATTGCCCTGGTCCATGCCCCTCTGTCTTCTATACCCACTGGATATTGGGGCCTCCCTGGGTGTCCCCTCTTCCCTTAGACCCATTGTCAGTCAAGACAGCGTGGGTCCTGACTCATGACCCACAGTCAAGGGCACCCATTCAACCCAGCAGCGACCTCAGCTGCTTGGCAGCCTGGGTATGGGAGGCTGGGCTGCAGGGGCAGGGTCCGTAGCTCCCTGTGCTGTGTGTGGGTCTCTCTGGACACTAGTCCTAAGACCCAGGCAGGCAAAAGTGGTGCTGAGCACAGGGGTTGGACCCTAAAGCCCCAGACTCAGAGCTGACTGCTTCCTTACCCTTAGGCTGACAGGGTGAGGGAGAGGGTCCGGGCTGGGCCACATAAGCTCTGGTACTCTCGGGAGGGGCCCCACGAGGCCCCTGTTTGCATTCTTTTCATGAACTGGCTTGGAAGAGCATAAGGGAACATGTCTTCTCCATGGCGCCCTGGGGGCTCATGAGGAATCTTAGAAATGTGTTTTCCTCTCTAGCCACTGGCCCACCCCCTACAGAGAGGGAAAGCCAAGTCTGTGGGACTCAGGGCTGGAGCTGGGGCAGAACCCAGTTGAGGGGGAGCCTGGCATGGAGTTCTGAGACTTGCTTGCCGTGTGGCACCAACATGCCCCTCTGGGGCAGCCCAGTGGATACTCTGGACCCCTTCCAGCCATCTCTGTCCCTAGTCACCACCTAGTGTCCCAGGGCACTTGTGTCCTCCCTCTGGCTTCCACAGAACTCTGGCAGTAGTTTTTGGAACTGAGTCAGAGGTTCTCATCAGAAGGGCCCCCAGCGGCGGTGGTGATCAATGGGGAGCAGGGTATAGACAGGGCTGCAGGCCGAGTCTGTCCATGTTCCCTCTGACAGATGCCTGTTCTGGTCCGGCCAAGTGGGAGGGGCAGGGTGGCTGGGAAGGAGGAAGGAGGGTGGGAGAGGTAAAGGCAGCAGCCTGCTGCTAGAGGGCTCTGGCTCTGTGGAGATGAGCTCAGATGGCAAGGATAAGACAAAGCACCCCCAGTGCCCAGCCCAGGGGCCCTCAGGGGCAGTGAAGGTGGGTGAGAGGGGCAGGTGGACACTCTTGACTTGTACTTATTGAGGGGTGTCCAGAGAGCCTTCTTAGCTGAAGCCCAATGAGGTAGGTGGGGTTTCCAGCAGGCCCAGGGGCAGGCCTAGGACAGGAAGCCGAGCAGAGGAGCCAGAGGTTGGAGATGCAGCGCATCTTTGGGGAGCACCCTGTGTGGAGGAGGTGGCCCCAGCAGTGCCTTTGGCTTCACCCTGCCAGCAGCGACTCCTCCCTCCTCAGAGTCTCCCCGACTCTTGGCTCCCGCTCCCCTGAGCACCTGCCCCACCTTGGTGACTTTGGGGCTCCTGGGACTGACTGAGATATTGCTCTACCTTTAACAGGGTTGGGGGTCCCTTGCCAGGTGCCCTCCTGTCTTTGCCTTCACCGTCCCCTCCAGGAAAGCCTGGACCAGAGTCTAGGGTTCAAGGAGACCACACCCTGTCTTGGGTAGATGGAACCTCATTCCTATTTCTAACCTTGTCTGTCATGCTCTTAAGGTCAAAACCCTCCCCTCCCCCAGCCATTGGCCGAGGGGCTCCTGCTGTGTTGGTAGGACTTCGGTGTCCAGGGTAGATCTCCCCTCTGCTGCGGAGTGGGATCCCAGAATCCTGATGACCCCGGCCTCACCCTGCTCAGGTGCTGGTGTGATGCAGGCTGGAGTCTTGGGGAGCCCTCTATAAAATCTATTTTTATATGGAATTTGGTCACTGGACAAAGGGAGGTAGCCTGAACCCCCATCACCCCTATCTGAGCCCACCCAGGGAGGGAGGGGGCTGGGGAGGTGGATCCTTTGACTAATTCCGGAGACGTTTTTATATTTCTTGGGTTCTAAATGCAGGACAAATAAATACAAACTGTCTGTGCTCTGGCACCTGTTTGAGTGGCGATCATTTTGCCATTTTGTAGCTTGTGGGGAGGGTTCCTATCCCTTCTCCTGGTTTGGGGTTGCATGTGTCAGGTCCCCAGCATGGAGGGGAATCAGATCTTGCTCCTGCCCTGAAAAATGTCACAGTCTAGTGAGGATACTGTTAAGAAACATGATAGGACATTGTGGTCAGGGGCTCAGGGAACACCCTGGGCGTGTGACGGACAAGCCTTTGCCTCAGTTGGCTCACAGTGCTTCTTTTCTTCCTGGCCTGGGCTGTTCTCAGGCACAGGCTGGGAAGGTATCTCACTCATCCCCATGGTCCAGGCCACCGGGAGCGCTCAGGGGACTGGATGGCGGCAACCAATAGCACCCTGCACCTCCACGCGGCTCAGTCAGAACAAATGAGTTCTGCTTCACTGGGAGGGACAGGGGTCACAGTACCAGCTCTTTGATAAGGCTGACTGGAGAGTGTTGCTTCCCATGTTTCTTTGAGTCTAAGATACCATTGGGTGTGAGATGTACCACTAGGCAAGAAAATCACAGCCAGTCACACTCTGTCGTGCCATCTGGGTGGCAGATGCATCCCGATTTCAGAGACATCACAATGTGTAAAATGCACATCTCCAGTAAGTGAGGTGCAATGCATCAGGGACAAGGTGTTTCCCACCATTCCCCTCAGAGTCAGGCTGCGCTGGATGGCAGGCCTCCCTCCCGGGGCCCAGCTGCCCACTCAGTCCTGAGCAATGGGAGGAGACCAGGGTGCGCCTTTCCTTTGGGCAGGCAGATCTGCGGGGAAGCCAGATGTCACCAATTTCAAGCAGGTTCTCCCTTCTATTCCTAATTCCGTTGAACCAGCCCCTTCTTTCAGTGGGAGGAGTGAATGAGTAGTGGGTTGGAGACGCTAGGAGCTCTGCCTTGCTGAAGTCTGCCCTGGAGAGGCTGCAGCCAGGGAACTGAGGACCCCAACATCAACACAGTGCCTGGCACCCAGGAAGCACTCTCAGTACTCACCAGCAGGTGTGAGCCATCAGGGAGATGAACAAGAATAGGAACCGAGAAGGACTTCTCCGGGCAGTGAGCCTACTGATCTAGCTTGACAAAGCATTGGCTCATTCAGTGAACACAGACCAGACACCTACAAGTGGCCGGCAGGTAAGTTAAGACCTTGTCTAAAAATAATGAGTCAGTTAAGTAAAAATCATGAGAAGTCGACCAATAAAGACTGAGTCCAGGCACAGTGGGAGTCAGGAGAGGGTGCTGCCTCCCCCAGTCCCTGGGAAGGAGAGAGAGGCTCCCGGGAAAAATAGGTAGTGAGTTTGCTGCCTTTTAACCAGCTTCTGGACTAGCATCTGTTCCTAATGTCACCATCACATTGCTTAGGAACTGAGTAAAACTCCTTGCCACGCAAGTCTTTGGAGACTTTTGCCATTAAAATTGAAGTGCCTGCTGGTATATTTTTAAAAAATTTCCCCCTTTGAACATTTCCCACATAGTAAAGTGGGGACCCGGGCAACAGAAAGAAGTCAGAAATTGTTCTGGGTCATGACCTCTTGATGACTTCCAGCATTTTGAGAGCAGATGAGCTATTTTGACCAAAACAAGTCTAAAAGAAAAACTGAAAATGCAAACTGGACTTTTTTCCCCCATTGCAAACACCTTACATCCCCTCCCAGGTGGACTCCCTTCTGCTCCTTGGCACTCCCGCTTTGTGCTGGGGATTAAACCCAGGGACTTGCACTTGCTAGGCAAGAGCTCTGCCTCTGAGCTACATCTCTCCAGCCCCTTTAAAATTTCATTAAGTTTCTCTTGAACTTTCAATCCCTGTTTCAGCATCCTGAAAAGCTGGAATTATAGGTATGTGCCACCAGCCAGGCACTGTGAAGAGAGTTGCCTGAGGTTTGCCAGTGTGACCTTTGTAGCTAAGTTGAGGGGTATTCCTGGAGATTGTGTCTCCATTCTGAGGTTCTGGGCCTATCATCATGTAGCATGTGCTTTTGTGTGCACTGAACATCTGTAAATGGATCTGGGCTCTTCCTGGTATCTTAGGGCCAAAAGTATGTCTGTGGTCCACCATGTCTACAACCCAGAAAACATTATTAGCTGGGTGTTGTGGTACACACCTGTAAGCCAGTGGCTCGGGAGGCTGAAACAGGATTGTGAGTTCAAAGCCAGCCTCAGCAACAGTGAGGTGCTAAGCAACTCAGTGAGACCATTGGGTGTGAGATACACCAGTATGAAAATACAAATGAAATCAAATAGGGCTGGGGAAGTGGCTCAGTGGTCAAGTGATCCCAAGTTCAATCCCCAGTACCCCAAAAAAGAAAACAACAACAACAACAACAAAAAAAAACATTGACCCTGATGTCAACTAAGGGAAAGAGGATTGCAGAGTGTAGAGATCAGAGCAGGACCCACTTGGTGGTCAGAAGTGATGTCCTTGATGGGGTTAGACTGCGGGATGATGGCAAAGAGCTGAGGAAATGTCTCGTCCTGTCCACAGAGATGGCACCTTCGCCAAAGCAAATGGGATTTGACTTCCATTAAGTGGAGACACTCCCACCTAGTGGCCTCCAATTCTGATTGATTCCCCTCACCATCTCTCTTGGCCCTTCATCTGAAGCCACATAAATTATGTATTTTAGAGCTGGGGTTGTGGCTCAGCAGTAGAGCACTCACCTAGCACATGCAAGGCCCTGGGTTCGATCCTCAACACCACATAAAAAGTAAATAAATAAAATAAAGGTATTTTGTCCAACTACAACTAAAGAAAGTTATCTATTTTAAAAATTTTGAGGGGCTTAGGTGTAGGTTAACAACTACCTAATTATGCAAAATAAGAGGCAGCCCTGTCAGGGTGTTCAAGTGTGACTGAGGTACACTTTGCTTTTCTGAGGTCATGGGGCAGTGGGGGGCACATTGAGGAGGTAAGTTCTGCACTGATGCGTGAGCTCAGTCACTGGTGACTGGTGGACACAGAGCTCTAAGTTCCCTTGAATGAATGGCATTCTAATGCTCTGAAGGAACAATCACTAGGTGATGTCCTCTGGCTCACACAGATGTGCTAGCTCTTCACATGAGTAACTCTTCACAAGGCAATATATCTGCAATTCTTTCAATAGGAAGCCCCAAGTAGGCTTTTAGAAACACCAGGGGCCCTGTCAGGTAAAGAGGAACCTACTCTTGTGTTGACGCTCTGGAGTCCCCTGAAACTGCCTCAGGGGGCCTGGGGGAGGGGATGCCAGGCTTCCATCTTCCCTTCTATTTAGAGAAGCTCTGTCTGCTTTATATCCCTGCCAAAAGGTACAAATTAACTTGCCCAGAGGGATTAAGTAGGTGACATTACTATGAGAAGTAATCTTTTAGGGACTGCTTTGAATAGGAAACAGGAAGAGAATTTTCTAAGGGCCAAGGAAAGTTCTACCCACTTCTGACTGTGGGCCTGTGTTGCCAGATCTTACTTTTGGAGGCTAAGATTTTTTTAAATCTCCCAGTTTATGGTACATATATGTAATCCCAGCTACTTAGGAGGCTGAGGCAGGAGGATCACAATTTCAAGGCTAGCCTTAGTAAGACCCAGTCCCAAAGCATAAAGGATCGAGGAGGCAGCTCAGTGTGAAGAGCACCTGGGTTCAATCCCTAGTACCAGGGGAAAACCAGCCTTCCCAGCCAGCCCCTTCTATCATATTTTAGTTAGCTTTTTTGTCACTGTGATCAAAAAACCTGACAATAAGAATTTTAAAGAAGGAAAAGTTTATTTGGCATTCATGTTTCTGAGGTTTCAATCCATAGACGGCCGACTCCATTCATTGGGGGCCCGAGGTGAGGGAGAACATGATGAATGTGGCAGAGGAAAGCAGCTCAGGACACTGCTACCAGGAGCGGGTGGGTGGGGTGGGTGGAGGGACTCCAGGGGATGACAAGCTCCTCCCTCATCAGATAAAATATGCCCAGAGACATGCCCCAATGACCCACCTCCTCCAGCCACACCCTACCTGACCACACCACCACCCAGTTAACCCCTACTAGGAGATCTCTGCACATAAAACAACCATCTCATAACCCACTCATTTCACCTCAACCTTCTTATCCTTTTTTTTTTTTGTAGTTGTAGTTATAGATGGACAGAATACTTTTGTTTATTTTTATGTGGTGCTGAAGATCGAACCCAGTGCCTCAAACATGCTAGGCAAGTGCCCTGCCACTGAGCCACAGCCACAGCCCCTCACCTCTAAACCTTCTCATGTCTAAACCTCATGTCAAGCACATCACATGAATTGCCCTATCCCAGTCGCAGGCCTTGACTAGGCCCCTGTTGCATATCAAGCATTTCCTGCAGTGGGCTCACCTAGGCAGAGGTGTGAATGGAGTGAACCAGATGAGCCTGGCTCTGGGTGCGGCGTGTTGGTCCCAGGTGTTTCCTTCATGTCGGGCCCTTCTCAGCGCTTCGCCAAAAGAGGGCAAGGGAGAAGCCTCAGGTGTGGTCTTAGAGGCTAGGTCACTTCCTTGCATGAGTAAGCTTTCTTCCACGTGCTGACCAAAGGGCCTCTTCTCCATGAATCCCTGTGCTCAGTGGCCAGCTAAGTTCCATGATGATCATTTCAGTGTAAAGAACTTGAGGAAGGCAGACCTGCTGAAGTCCCAAGGACTTTGGGAAGCGAGAGGCGTGATCACAGAGTCACCCACCCTTCAACGTCCCAGCCCACAAGCCTTCACTCCACAGGTTTACTACAGACATCCTTGATCTCCGTCTTCCCAGTTGTAAATGTCTAACTCTTGAAATGAAGGCATTAGGGGGAACCTGCTGGGGGGCTGAGGTTACCGCTGCCCTGGATCTGAGTGTGAGCACTGCTTTAGATACCAGAAATTTTGCCTGTAATAAAGGTTTCTGTGCCTTCTAAAGAAAGCAGTTGTCCAGAGATCCCCACTCCAATAGCTTAGCTCCAAAATGGTCCCTTCAGTTCATGTAGCACAACTGGGAATATTGATTAAAAAACAAAATCAAAATTTATTGAAAGCAGTATCTTGCAGTAACTGATTTGAACAAATCAGCTTGGAGATACCATTACTAGGAAAACAATATGTACAAAAAGTCTCATGAAAAGGAGAATAAAGCAACTTGCAACAACCAGCCTGTACAGGACCGAGTTAATAACACAAAAGATGCCACACAAAGAGTCAGACGCAAGAGAGGGAGCTTCGTGCCTGCAAGCCAGGAGTAATAATCCTAGTTCCCAAAATTCCTGGACCATAGTATGTGGCCCTTTGGGATCCAGAGGCTCTGCTCAGACCACAAGGCTGTCACTGCTGACTCCACACAACTAGTCTATGCCCTCAGCATGAGCTAAATGCATAATATCACCAGACAAGGCACCTGGCCCTCCCAGTGATCCCCCTGAGAGAAGTGCTTTCTGCGGAGTCCACAGACCTGGCAGGGACCACTGGACCAATAGATAGCGTAGGGATAATTACTCTGCAGCCAGTCACTTAAACTCCTAGACTACTCTAAGCCCTGTAATTCCCTTCTCCAAATCCCCACTAACTAGAGAGGTAGAAATACAAGACATGGAAGCTGCCTCCAAACCAGTTTTTGGTCTTTGATAAGCACAAAACTCTGCTCCACACATCAGCTTGACAAGGACTATTAGGCACAGCAGGTAAAAGATTCCAAGGCCCCACCTAGTATCCCGCATTGACAGAGGAGGAGATGGTGGGTAACAGGAGGGAGATGTGCACCTTCTGCTGCCAATGTCACTGCTACAGCCTGTACAGTCCTGCTTCCTCACTTGTGGGATCGTATACTGCTGCAGATTTGGGCGAGATGACTCTAAAAAGAGGAGATAGGCCATTTAAAGAAGATAGCACTTTGTAAGCCAGTCTACCCACGCACGCGTCTGTATGAGTCTCAGCCCTTCCATTCTTGACTTGTACCTTACCCTGATTAACTTTTCTGAAACTTTCTCATCAAAACAAAGGGTTAAAATAACACTTGAATGAGACAGTGAAAGTATCAAGTGAGCATCTGGGACCATAATGCTAAAGGAGGATGGTCACGTGGTTTGGGTGGCTGGGTGTATGTGGGCCTAAGGCAGCCAGGTCTACTCTAAGTGCTCCCACCCACCACCCACTACCACAGGTGACCCCACCAGGGAGGAGCCTCAGACCAAAGCAAGGCCAGTTAAAATCTCCTTCTTAAGAACCTAAATGAAAACAGGAACCTGAATAGTTGTGGCCCTGGAGCAACAATTAGAATCGGAGGTGTTGGTACCTAAAGCTACACATGAATCACTGTTAAAGAACAGCAGAACCAAGAGCCTGAGGAGAGGGTCATGTGCCAACAGGGAGGATGAAGATGTGCCAGAGAAAGAAGGCTGGGAACCCCGAGCCAAACAGACACTAGATTGGTGTGCTCACGAAGGGCCACATACTGCCACTGCCGATTTCTGATGGTCCCTAACACTTTAAATGTTTCTTCGATTCTGTGAGATCCCTTATAACAAGTTTCTTCCCTCCTTGAAGGAAGTTTCAGTTCATGGTGGTCAGTGGACACCCTGGCACTTAATTGCCTGATCCTTGTAATTATTGTGAGACTTCAATGACAGGCAATCTGGGATTGACCAAACTCAACATCAATCTCGGACCAGAACTGCTGCTATGTAAGCAGGATAACAGTCACAATCCCTTGGGAGAAGGCAACATAATTCTAAATATCAAGTATTCGCTCAGACCCAGAGGACAACCCTAGAGAAAGCTAAACCAGGAAAGCTGCCACAGGCTTCCTGGCCAGGAGATGAACATGGAACCCACCGAGAGCTTCTTAATGTCCCCTAAAGCCTCTGGATGCAGCTGTGTGATATCAATCCTCTGCAAGTCACTGGCCAATAACCGCATACTCTGTGTGGAGAGGAGAATGGGTTACATTGACATGTCTTTTAAGGCAGAACTCCCACCCATAGCCCAGTGTGCCTCAGGGGGTCCACTGGATATCCTGCATGTGATGGTGGGGATGGCTGGGAGGGAGAAGTGGCAAGGTAGGCAGGAGGTGGCTCAGGCCTAAGGAGAAGATGACATCAACAGCACTATCACTGGGCCACCAGCTGGATCACTGGGGTCAAAGGCATGCACGCTAGCTTAGCAACCCACCAGACCATCTGAGAAGCCACCCTGCCACTGGGGCTGAGGTCAGCAACTCACTCTTTATAGTCTAGAGAAACCAGGATAGCCTGCTTCTGAATCCCGCAGGGTTGCACAGAGTTGAAGGTACAGCTCTCACTGCCCTGTCTAGACTAAGAGCACCCTGTAGTCATAATCCCTTTATCCCTACTGTTGTAGCCTAAGTGTTATAACTACAAACCCATCTGACTACTGAACTGCTTCTCAAGATCAGGCATCATGTCCTTTGCACCTTTGGCCTGCTTTAATCCGGTGGACAAATGACAGCTGGAACCCTAAGCCGGGCAGGGATCCTCCCAGTCTGGGCCTCTAACATGGGAAACAAAATTGGGTTCTGAGCCCTATAGAAGCATAGAGATCAGGACCTAGGCCACCAAAGGGCTCTGAAGGACAGAGGTGGTTGATGGCCCAGGGAAGGGAAAGGCTTTACTGAGCAGCACACTGTGGTCTGGCTTCCCAGAGAAATACTTTACCGCTCCGCCGCCCACTGGCACAGTCAGGGAGATCTCTTTGCCATCAGCAAGAGGGCTGCCATTGGCAGAGATGCTGTAAATCTGTTCTCTGGCTGTTGGCGTGCGCAGGCCTGGGGCCTTGAAGACCCTACAAAGTAGGAAAATCTTTGTGAAGACGATTTGGCAGACTAAAAGACATCAAGCACTGTGAGCCCTTCCAACCCCATCTGGTTTTAAACTGCAGCTTTCAAACCACACATTTCTAGAAGGCAAGTTCTAAATTTAAGGAAAACATTTTTTTTAAGTAGTAATGACTAAACACAGCTGGAGAAAGGAGGCTGTAATTATCAAACATATATCTAGAAAGAGTCAACACATACGCATGTAAAGTTTAGGACCAATGCTCTATATGGGTGCCAGTCCTCCACCCACAGGACCAGAAATAAACTGGCTAGGTGTTTCCCAGAGTGGCTAAGCCCTTCCATCAAGAGGAACTCTCCAGGGTCAAGGGAGGATGATTCAGAGATTATATCATTACACCAATCCCCACACCAACCTCCTTAAGACAGCTAAAATGCTGTTTCCCACTAATTAGCTTTTGCTACTTACCCATGTGAAAAAATAATCAAGTGGGAATTAAAAGTGAAAGTAAGTCTTCCTCACTTTTCCCACCTCAGAGTCAATAGCTCCTTACTCCACTCCTCAGAGGTAACTCCTCTGAATTCTGAGTAAACTTTCCAGAAGTATTCTGTGTGTGCATAAAGCAAATGGGATCCTAAAGTTTGCACAGTTGGTAAGCTGCTTGGAGATCTCTGTGATTAGGAAGCTTTTCTTGTGGGGTATGTACACAGCCATTCTTTACTAAGGGCTACACAGCATTCTTACTTGAGCGATTAACTCTTATGAAAGGTCTCAACTTCTGCTATAAACATTCTCACTCATTTGCCCTCCAAAAAAGATGGTGTTAATTTTACTTCTGCCACAGGTATAAGAAAGTACCTAGCCAGCTTAAAAAATCTTTTGGCCAGAATCAGAAAAAATCCAGAGTCACATAGATATCTCCTAGTCACCACGGGCAGAATGTTCTTCTCTCTCATCAGATAAAGAACATTTCTGGCCCTGAACTGGGTGAATCTGCATGCAGGGGAGGGGCAAACACTAGGGAGCCCAGGTGGCTTCTCAGGCCAGGATTCAGGGCATTTCCTAACAGTCCTACTTTGGGCTCCCCCCTGAATCCAAGTGCTGCTCAGCACTCACCTGGAGTCAAACCTGGGCGTCGGGCATGGAGTTGGTTTTGCCATAGACAACTCTAATCTGCTTACAGCTGGGGTCACAGTGCTGTTGTGGCTTGATCTACAGGGAAGAAATAGCCATAAATATGTCAACTCTCAGGTGCAATGACAGCAGCAGTTGTAGAGGCAGATGACACGTGGAGAGCACTGATCATGCTCTGGATGTCCTGTACCCATCAAGTCATGTGGCCCTGCGAGCTAACGTAGGAAACAAGCAATATTTATCATCCTCATTTACAGATGCAGAAACTCAGGCATAGAGGTTTAAAGAGCTTGTCCAAGATCACACAGCCAATTAGGGAGGAGCAACTCTGAAACCCAGCAGAAATCTTGCAGAGTCTGACTTCTCAATCAAGATGGAGAAGATGACACAAAGCTCACAGCTACCCCCAAAACTAGAATTCTTGTTCTCTTGAAAGACAGATGGTTAATGTCCAGCTACCTCTGCCCAGAGAGAAAGGGGGACTCATAGTCCAATGCCTACTTTCCTAAGCTGTTTCCTCTTATCTCCAAATAGTGGAGATTCCATAGTCATCTCATAGAATCTTTATTTTTGGCAAGACCAGAAGGAACATTTCAAGCAACTAATTGTGGGCAGGTGATGGCCACTCTGTGACTGATTCTGGGTACCTCTACACAAGGACTGTCAGGCAACTAAACATAAAATACAGTTCTTACTAAACTCTTTTGAGCTCACTCTGCCTGTTAAAAATAAAACAGTGGGGGAGAATAGAGAAGGTAAGCAGAAGAACTGGCTGAGACTAGAGGCCCTCCAGCATGGCTCCTCAAGGATCCTGTGACTTTACGCTCCTAGAACATAATCACCAAAGCCCCTTTTGCCTTCTTCTGCCTGTTGTACAGAGTTCTTTCATAAAGCCAAGTCACGTGTCTAACTTTGGAAGCCCATTACCTTTTGCTTTTGCCTTTTCCTTGTATGGACTGGGTTCTCTTCTTAGATGGAGGACACCTTTTGACCTATAGTCACAATCAATAAAACTGAGGTTACACGAAGCCCAGCCTAGGGGAAAGTTAAGGAGGGTTAAAAAAGGAGAGGAAAGGGGATCAGTTCTTGGAAGGAAAGTTAATATTGAACATAAGAAAGTTCAGCCGGGGCTGGGGTGGTGGCTCAGCAGTAGAGCACTTGCCTAGCATGTGTGAGGCACCGGGTTCGATTATTAGCACCACATATAAATACATAAAAATAAAGTTCTATTAACAACTAAAAAAAGTTTAAAAATTAAAAAAAAAAAAAGAAAGTTCAACTCACAGAATTTAGTGACTAAAGCATTCAGAATGTAATTAATCAGCAGAGGACTTACACTGGCTGGGCCTTCAAAACAGAAAATTTGGGCCAAGATTGAAGCCTGACTTGCTCCAGTACTTTCCATAAAGTGCTACAGTGGTGGTCACTCTGGGCATCCCATGTGCCCAATCCAAGGAAACCCCCTGCAGACCTCACCTTCCGAGTCCTGGGAATATCTGACAAGAGTGACTAATTTCCTGGCAACTCTCCCCTTCTTTCTTCCAAGTCCAACCCAGCCTTCCCGCATCTCTTTCCGTCCCTTGGCGGTCTGCATCAGGAGCCCTTCCTCCCAACTTCTCTCTCATGCCCACCTGCAGTTCCCTCCTCATGCTCTCCCTGACAGTCTTTTCCGCTCTCCCCGTGGGACTAGCATATAAAAACCGGGAGGCAGTGCATCTCTCTACTTCCTCCTCCCCCAAGCTCCAGGTGAAATTCCTATTTGAATTCCCATGTCCTAGAAAAGTACTCAACACACAACATGTCAAGCAACCAGCACGTCTCCTAACCCACCGCTCTGCCTCCAGGGTCCCGTGTTCACTGGATGGCAATTGCCTAAGCTAGAAAGTATTTGGTCATCTCTGATTCCTTCTTCCACCAATCATGCTAGTTCTCCTTTATAAAACTTACCTTAAACCATGACTGTTTTTAGTTACCGCCTTAGCTCAACCTAACAGCTTTCCTTATTTTATCCTCTTCCATTTATCCTGAATACTACTATAAAATATGTATCTGATGTCACTTATCATCACCTGTCTGACAGAATAGAAACTTCCAAGCTTGGCAAACAAGGCCATCCGTTATTTGGTCCTTGCTCTCCTCCTGTCCTATACCAGCCATACCAAATTGCTTCCTAGGAGCTCCTTAGCTGGACCCTTTCCTAGCTCTTCCAGGAATTTTCTCCCCTTTCTTCTCACTGATCTTGAAGAGACTGGCTATGTCCTCCTTGGGTAGGGAAGCCTTACTAGCTTCCTCTTCTGAGGTCTACACACTTCAAATGCATGTCAATGATCTCTTTTGTTATTTACCACTTACGTGGGATGCTCTCAATCAAATGTGAGCTCTAGGAGTGCAACACTGCATCCCGTGTGTGTGTGTGTGTGTGTGTGTGTTTAGTTGTAGATGGTCACAATATCTTTATTTTTATTTTTATGTGGTGCTGAGGATGAAACCTAGGGCCTCACGTGTGCAGGGCAAGCGCTCTACCACTGAGCTACAGCCTCAGCCCACATCCCATGTATTTTTGTATTTGCTTATCTCTTGCCAGCCCTCAGCCCTTATCCTGAATTCCTACTTACTCTTGAAGTTTGAAGATTCTTATGTTTATTTTCCTCCTCCTCTTCTTCTTCCATTATCATTTCATCCACTTGTATTACCTTTCGTGCTAAAAGAGACAGCATTAACAGTGTGTTATTTCTGATGGGAAGAAATTTCATGCATTCACATTTCTCATAAGGAATGACACTTAACATAACCTAAGGCTACAATCATGAAATAGACTCAACTCCACTTTTTTCTTTTTGGCAGTGTTGAAGATTGAACCCACGGCCTCATGGCCTCTAGGTAAAGGCTCCACCACTGAGGTATAATTCCATCCCAGGAAATCACTTGAAAAAAGTGGGGGGCATTTAAACAAAGGAACTTAATCAGAGTAGATAAGAAACCCCATTCAATGATTCTACAGGGATAACCCAGCCCTCCTACCAAGACAGACTTGAGCTTCAAATGTGGTACTACCGCTTACTAGGTCAAATGGTTTTAATCAAGGTGTTCAGTTCTCTCACATTTATCAGAGAGCTGTTACTATAGCGATATTATGAGGTTTGGAATGTATGCTCCATAAGAACACATTTGTTATTTTCATTCTTACCTCCAAGTCTTAGAATTATGTCTCTAAGTGTTTAGTAAAGTATTTGAGGAGTTAATGAATATAAAGTCTGTTGGACCATACCAGACACTGTTATAACAAATGTTATTTATTGTATTATTGTTATTTATAAAAATAAAATTTTTATTATAATTGTCATCAAAAGAGGAAAAGGAGCATTAGGGATATTTAAGAAGAATGATTCCAAAGGATAAATGCCAATTTTTAATATTTAAGGGGTTGTCATATTAAAAATAGTTTTATGGGGCTCCAAAGAGCAGAACTAGTATTGATACATAGATACCATAAGAAAACTTTGGCAAGCACTCTATCAATTGAGCTACATCCCCAGCCTGAGATATATTTTAATAGCTTACAATGTAGTTGAAGTTCAGTAGTCAAAAGGGTAAAAAAAAAAAAAATTTAATGATTGGTTGACATTGGTCCTGGTATATTCAGTTGTACAAAGTGAAATCAGAAGACCTCTGCCTCCCATCCACCATCATCACTATGTAAGCAAAACTGATAATATGTAATCTAAAAACACTGAAGTTCAATTCTATCATAACTTGAGAGGCAGGACTGGAAAATGGCACAAAGAAAGTAAAAACCTCATCATTCAGCAAGACAATTCTGATGGAAGGCCTGTCATAACTAGAAGACAGTGTTTCTGGCCCTGGTTAGTGGAGCAGGTACCTAGAGTGTAGCCCCACATCCAGCTATGGGGCAGATCTGCCCTCACAAGAGCTGGATGCATTGAGCTACCATAGCTTCATGATAGTGACATTCAACCCAGGTTTCAATTCATCCTGACCATATTCCAAGCTCAAAAGTTCCAACCTGGCTTCCCTTATAGCTTTCCTATGAGACAGTGTTTCTCTGGTGTAGGACATGGATGTGAGACGATTTTACATGGCCAGATCACTGAATTGGGGAATGTGAAATTACACTGAGAAAGTTTCCTTCTACGAAAGTTTCCTTCTCTTTTGACCCTGCAGATCACATCAGGGAGTCTCAGTTTGCATTGCCTGTCTTGGAACATCTCCCTGAATCCTGCCAGCCTCTCTGTGTTACTCAGGGGAAAGCAAGCAGGCAACAATGTTTGGTTTCTGCACAGCTGTTTTCCCCCCAATCTCCTTTCACTTTTGCTCACACAACAGCCTTGTGAGTTTGGTTAGTATTATACGTACATACATTTAATTAACTAAATGCAGCAGCTAAAATAAAATTTTTGGATTTACAGGATTGGGAACCAGATATTAGAGGGAAGAGAGTCACCAAAAGGCCCTGCCTGAGAGGCTTACCAGGTTCCTCGGACCTCAGCTCTCTGTCCAACAAGGGATTTTCAAAAGTACTCACTTTTGGAAGGTTTCAGGGGAGTCTGGATAGCTTCTGCAGTGAGTTTGTTTATTTCTGTGATATCCACATCAGCCTGTGACAAATACAGACAGAAAGTACGAGGCTTAGTCCATCAAATATGAGAAATACTTGCACACGTGAGGCCCTAGTACATGAAAAGTGACTGCTAAATATTAGTTACAATATAATACAGCAGGGGCTGGGGATGTGGCTCAAGAGGTATCGCGCATGCGTGTGGCCCGGATTCGATCCTCAGCACCACATACAAAGAAAGATGTTGTGTCTGCCGAAAACTAAAAAATAAATTAAAAAAAAAATACAATACAGCAAACCTCCATAAACCTACACATACCACAAGACCTAAAATATTGCCAATAACTTGTTTCTAAGTATGTATTCCTTCTCTGTTCCATTTTTGTCTCTCTCCCTCCCAAAGGTGACCAGGCTTTTAATCCTATCATTCTTCACAGGTAACCACTATTTGCATAAGACAATAGTAAATGTAAATGTATAGTAAATGTATAACTGAATGTGTGTGATTCTATCACCGTGGATTTGTCCATTTTCCCATCAATAGTGCTACTTTGAACTGTCTCACCTACATGTGTGATGCACTTGACGTCCAAGTTTTCTCTTGGCCACATACTTAGGAAAGATAGAGTACTACAGGGTTATATGTTACATAAATGTCAGCCTTAACATTATGCCAAATTTTTTCCCAAAGTTTACATCTTGTTTACATCTCATTTGTAAACACAAGTCCCTAATGAATCACATCCTTTACAACACTTGATACTATCAGACCTTTTTTTGGGGGAAGTCTACAGGGTCTCAACAGGGTTTTCTTTTTCTTTTCGTGATTGGGTCTTACTATGTTACTCAGGCTGGTCTTGGACTCTTAGGCTCAAGTGATTCTCCCATCCGAGCCTCTCAAGTAGCTGGGACCGCCATCACACCCAGCTCTCAGGTAAGGTTTTCTGATGCTCCTTCAAAAAGGCTTCCTTGCTTTCTAATTAGGTTTATGGTGGTGACTACCCCTATGTATGATTACAGGCAAGAACAGATATGATTTGTAGTCTTCTCCTCATGGGGCACATGTAAATACTAAAATGGTTATTACAAAGTAGGAATCACACAGATATCACATCTGGATTTGTAGAGACTACATGGAGTACTGAGAGAAGAATTCTGAGGCTGTCAGGGCTTAGAAGACAGTGCTGGGATAGATTAGTGGGGTCTATCATGCTTGATGGAACAGAAATGGCATTCCTGAAAACTTTCTACAGTCTCTAGCAATAACTAGCATGATGTGACTCCCATCATTCTTTGATAAGAATAGTTCACCATGCCTAAATTTTATGCAAACATTGTGGTCTATTCCAAACACCTGCTTCTTTCTTCTTTCTTTTTCTGTCCAAGAAGCCAGCATCCAATTAAAATCCTGGGCATTGAGTCTCTAAAGAGTTTTTCTAGAGATAACAGGGGTTTTCTCATATTACACCAGAAGTTTTTATTTCATCTCTATATGTCTGATTAATTCAAAAAGAAGAAGATGCATTAATTAATGATTCTATTTCATCTCAGAATGTTTTGAAATATTAGATCCGGGTCTGTGAGGGGGGGCATCAATAAAATGGGTCACAGACACATAAAGAAAAAGAAGGCTTGGGTCAAGAATGTTTTACTAGCTCAATTTTATTTCAGTTATTCCCATCCCTCTCTTACAATATTCATCCCCCAAATCTTAATTTTTTTCCTAACTGAATAACTAGTTCCTGCCTATCTTTAACTTCTTGAGCTGGTAGGAATCTGTTATTCACAGAAAATTTGTACCCTTTGAAGTCACACCCCTTCAAACCTCAGATTCCAAATGATTCTCATTGAAGAATGCAGAATTTTGTGTTCACATTGAAAATGTGTTAAAAGCTGCAATAAACTCTCTCTCAACAGGAAGACACACAAGTGAATATGCACATATTTTGTTTGTTTGTTTTTGGTGGTACTGGGGATTAAAACTAGAGCCTTAAACATGCTAGGAAATTACTCCATCCCTGAGCTACATCCCCAGGCTTTTCAAATTTTTATTTTGAGCAGGATGTAGTGCCACAAGCCTATAATCCTAGCAATTTGGTAAGCTGAGACAGGAGGATGGCAAGATCAAGGCCAGCCTCTGCAATTTAGTGAGAACCTGTTTCAAAATAAAAAATAAAAAGGGTTGGGAACATAGCTTAATGTTAGAGTGCCTCTGGGTTTAATCCCCAGTACCAAAAGATAAAATCAAATAAAGTTGTAGTTTATCTCCTAGCCATTCAGGTCATGGTTTAAAGGCACTTGAGCTTGAGGCTTTCCATTCTCCTAAAGAGTTCAGGAAAAGGACCACTAGGGGCCTGTCAAAAATGGAACTGTCTGCCTCTGAGGATTAAGAATGACAAAACTCCACTTCTCCCCATTATATTCTTAAGAACATTTCCATGGCCAAATGTGTGTGGATTTTTCCCGACACCACACTATATCCTATATTCAGAAATCCTATAGTGGACACCACTGATTCAATTCTGATACCATCTATCTGAGAATAGCATCAGATCCTACAAGACTATTCCCTACTTCCCATGCTAACTGCCAGCCCCAGGTTGTTTTACCTGTGTTTCTTTTTTTTTTGAGAATTTTAATATTTATTTTAGCTTTCGGTGGACACAACATCTTTGTTTGTATGTGGTGCTGAGGATCGAACCCGGGCCGCATGGGTGCCAGGCAAACGCGCTACCACTTGAGCCACATCCCCAGCCCTTTACCTGTGTTTCTGACCAACTGATTATAAAGAGGAGTCCGGGCTGGGGTTGTGGCTCAGCAGTAGAGCGCTCGCCTAGTACAGGTGGGGCCCTGGGTCCGATCCCCAACACCACATAAAAATAAATAAAAAAGGAGTCCCTTGCCCCCCACCCCATTCCCACCCTTGGGCTTGACTAATTTGCTAGAGTTGCTCTCTGAACTTGGAACAGCTTTATTTATGGCCTTCTGATGACCATTACCTGAGAGACTTTACTTGTATAATAAGATAACTTCTGTTCTCATTGGGATCCCTTCCTCTACCTCCCATAGCTTGCAGTAACCTCTTTTGCTCCAGGAGCCTCAAGCTTTTTTATCTGATTCTTTCTTTGAATTTTATCCTTTGTGTATGGCTCCTATGTTTATGTATGTTGATCAATTATATGCCTTTGTTCCATTGCTAATCTATTACCAGTTTATTTCATATACCAACATTATGGAACCTTCAGAAGAAAAATATTTAAAACCTCCTTAGGGCTGGGTTGTAGCTCAGTGGTAGAGTGCTTGCCCAGCATGTGAGGCCCTGAGTTTGATCCTTAGCACCACATAAAAATAAATAAAATAAAGGTATTGTGTCCATCTACAACTAAAAAATATATATACTTAAAACAACAACAACAACAACAAAAAAAAACCAGAAAAATCCCTACAAGGTGCCTAACGCAAGAGGAAGTGGCACATAACTTCCATGTTCCCTCTGGTTTGCTACCCTCCAGGAATCTCCATGTATTCAACTATTGGGAAGCTCATGAACCTGTCCTTTTAAGGGTATTTATGAAGGCTTCACTACATAGGCATGATTGATTGATCTATCATTGGCCTTTGGTGATCAACTTAACCTTCTCCCCTCCCTGGAAGAGAGGTTTTGAGTTCCAACTCTCAGAGCACAGGGGTTTGTTTCCCTGGAAACAGCACCTCATCCAGTGGTTACCCAGGGACTTTCCAAAAAAAAAAAAAAAAAAAAAAATCACCTCATTAACATCAAGGTTGAAAGGGGTTTGTTATAAATAGCAAAAGACTGTCTTTCACCTTTATCACTCTGGAATTACTCAGGTCAAAAGGCCAAAAAGATGTTCTTACTGTTGTAGTTGCTTAAGAAATTATAAGGGGTATAAAAGCTGTGAGTTAGAAACCTTGGACAAAACCCCTAAAATATATAGTAGTTCCTTGGTATCCTAGGGGGATTGGATCCAGAACCCCCTGAGGATACCAAAATTCATAAAGGTTCAAGTCTTTCATATACAATGATGTGGTATTTGCATACAACCTATGCATGTCCTATTATATGTTTTAAATTCCATCAAGATAAAAAAAATAACTATTATTCTGTATTGTTTAGGGGACAATGACAAAGTCTATACATGTTTAGTATGGATTTAAAAAATATTTATTTTTGATCCATGGTTGGCTGAACCTTCAAATAAGGAACTCACAGAAGGGCGTGAGGAAGACTGTATCATAACATCAGAGTCCTTTTGGGATTCAGATCTATTCGGGCTATTCAGATCTATTCAATGTTTGACAAAACCATAACTTTTTTAGTTGGCAGAGATAATGCTCCCTTATGGAACCTCTCTTACAGTGTAAAACCCATTAGTTGGATATCTTTTTTTGGGTATGGGGGATTGAACCCAGGGTGTTTAACCACTGCGTCACATCCCCATCCCTATTCTTTTCTTTTCTTTTAAATACTTTTTCAGTTGTAGTTGGTATGATATCTTTATTTATTTTTATTTGGTGCTAACAATCAAACCTAGCACCTCAAGTGTACAAGGCAAGTGCTTTACCACTGCGCTACAGCCCCAGCCCCGCAATCCCTTTGTTAATATTTTATTTAGAGATAGGGTCTTGTTAAGTTGCTAGGACTGGCTTTGAACTCATAATCCTCCTGCCTCAGCCTCCCAAGCCCCTGGGATCACAGGTGTGCGCCACCATATCAGCCCATTGGTTGAAATTTGTGAGTGGATTATACTTACAAACTAACCAGCTCAAAAGTAAAATAAGTCACTTACTGTTGCTGCCTCTTCCAGGGCCTGTTTGTTTCCTCCAAGGGCTTTAAAAAGAATATCACATTTAGTTACTATCAGATTTCAATGATAAATCATCTTCCAGCATTGAAAGACCCTCACAATCTAGTCCAATCTTTCTCTAAGCTGGATTCCTTCTTTTTTGACTTATTCCACCTCATCAAAATTTTTGTTATTTCTCAAATGTGCCACCATCTCTTATGACTTAGAGTCCTAGTATTAAGCATTTCCTCTGCTCCCAATAAATTTCTAATTTATCCTTTAAAACTCAGCTCAAATGTCACCCCAAAATTCTGCTTATGTTTCTATCATACTAGATTGCTGTGAACTGTAAAACTTACAAAGTAAATTGCTGAGTTGTTTCCCTTTATCATACCCAACAGCTACTCAAAACAAAAGCTGTTTAAGTGTCCACTCCTGTCTTGGACTGAATTCCATAAATAAGACCCACTTCTGGCAAAAATTTGGCATAGTAAATATGCATTGAATAGAAAGGTCTTTGTTAGATTTAGATGTGGAATAAACTTAGGTTACATCCTACTCTTAGAGACTGTCTTGGTATCCTATATAACAGTTAAGATCTTACTGGTTATGGTAGTGCACACCTGTAATCCCAGCAGCTCAGGAGGCTGAGGCAGGAGTATGGTGAGTTCAAAGCCAACCTCAGCAACTTAGTGAGACCCTGTCTCTAAATAGAATATAAAAAAGGGGCTGGGGTTGTGACTCAGTGATTAAGCACCCCTGGGTTCAATCCCCAGTTCCAAAAATATAACAAAGTTAACAACTCAAGTTTTGGAAACAGAATGCTGGGGTTCAAATTGATTCTGCCACTAACTAGCTTGAAACCTTAAGCAAAGTAACCTTTCTTCATGCCTTAATCTTATAATTTCTAAAACAGGCATGATATTAATAATTACTTATCTTGTTATGAAGTTAAAATTAGTTCAATTATGTAAACCATTTTGGTACAATGTCTATCTGGTGTACAAAACACTAAATACACTAGCCACTACTCTAGTCTCTTTTGTAGTACTTATAATTCTAATGACATATTTGTAATTTTGTTTTATTTATTTATTTTTTTGCAGTGCTGGGAACTGAATCTAGGGCTTCACCCACGCTAGGCAAGTTCTCATCACTGAGATATATCCCCAGGCTCTGAATTTTTAAAAAGACCTTTGCCCACTAGCTCATATGCTCTCAAGGGCAGGAACAATGTCAGTTTTATTCTCCAATGCATCTTCAGCATCCAGCATTCTGACTGAGGTGTGCTCAACTTTTGTATAAATGAATGAATTCATGAAATAATAAATAAAAAGGCAAATTGAAAGACTTGCTAAATCCTGTGTGAGCAGGACAAGCATTTCTATCCAGGACAAAGGCTACATACTATAATTATTAATAAAAAGGAAAACAGAAAAAGGATAACCCAGCAGAGGAAGGTCTCTGCTTTTCCCTGGACATTTAGTGAGGGAGTGGGAAAATCGGCTGAGATTTTTCTCTGGTCAGGAAAATTCTCCTGCCCTTGCAGTTCACAAACAATTTGCCCATTTTTAAATCAAGACAAGAATGAACACTTAAATCAATTTGCAATTTTCATGAGCTGCAGAAAGAGCTACTTCCTGAGTGCTGATAACAAACCAAATCATTAATTCGTTCATTTTTAAATGGTTGGATAATGTACATACACATACACACACACACATGCATGCACACCCAGAGGAATATCTCCTAGAGTGTGAAAATTATGTGAAATTCATATTAGTTTGTCCATAAAGTTTTAATGGAATACAGCCCATTTGTGCCCATTCATTATAGCCGTTTCGAAACTACAAAAGCAGAGCTAAGTACCTGGATCGAGAACACTCTGGCTCAAGAAACCTTAAATATTTGCCACCTAGTTCTTTAGGTTTGAATTGGTATGCCTGTTTGGGGTGTGGGGGTGTGACCACGGTAAGTGCTATTGAGAATGAAGCGGGCAGGTAGACAGAATGCGACCAAGCAGCAGGGTTGCAGTTTTCCATAAGTAGCCATGTTGGACCTCATGAAGAAGGGAACATTTTAGAGAACCTTTTCTGAAGGGTGTCACGATGCTCATGGCCTGACTGCGGCCATAATTTGTCTCTTACCGAAGTAGTCAAGCCAGTTCATCTCGCGTAGAGCCTTGGGGAGCCGTAGGATCTCGATGTTGTACAGGTTATCCACCTCCTTGAGAAGGTTCTGCCTGTCTGACTCAATTTGCTTGATTCGTACTTGCACTGCGAGAGGCAGAAGCCGAAAGGAAACGCGTCACCAAGCGGGAGAGTCCGGGCCAAGGGCGCCCCAACCCGCAGGAGCCCTGCCACCGCCTCAGGTAGCAGCAGCGACGGCGGGAATCCACCCCTTACCTTCACGGTCGAAGTCCTTAAGAAAGGAGGCGAGCTTTTGGCTCCGCAACGAGTTGGTCTTGTTCGTCCGACTGCCACGTTTCCTGGGAGCCATGGCGCTTCGGTGGAGGCTGCGGGGAGAGGGGGACCGAGCCACAAGGGGTCAGCGGCAGAGACAGGGGAGGGAAAATAAGGGGTGGAGACGACAGCTGGGAATCGTCCTTCGGGGTCTAGGCCTAAAGAGATCGGGAGACACGTACCTACGGGTCAGGAAGCTAGGGCCGAGAAAAAGCTCGCAGCTCCAGCTGAGAGGGAGAGGCTCTCTAGCTAACCGCCACCCAATTCAAACTCAACTGCCTGTGGCTGACGAATGAGAAGTGGCCCTTTTAAGGATGGTCTCAGAACACCCAACCACAAGGAAGCTCCTCCATCAGACAGCCAATCCACAGGCAGGACTTCATTGCCCAGAAGTCATTGCGGCTTTACGGCATCTTTTCACGACTCCGTAGTCCTCGCAGGCGGTCACTTCTGAGCGTGCGCAGAAAGTGCGAGCCGCGGTGCTTTCCGGGTGGGTTCTCACGCTTCAATATCTGGCGGGGTTAGGGAACGCGAAAGGCAGTTTCAAAGAGAGGAGACAAGATTCCGGCTCCAGGAGCACAAGTCTCGAGGGGAGACAGGTCTTGGGCTCCGGGAATCGTCAGTCTGAAGCAGGAGACTGCCCTATTCCGAGGAGTAACTAGGACACCCGCCTGAGCGGGGGGAAGCAAGGGTCCTTCACGGAGCAGCTTCCGAAGGCGAGAGGACGCCTCGGGCAGGAGCTCCTGACCGGAGGGACTCGGAGGCCGAGAGCCGGGCCGACCGCGGGGCAGGAAGTGGCTCCCACCCGGGACCCAGCACTTCGTCTCCTGACTTGGCGCCCTGACCCTTTTTAAATTTTATTTTATTTTATTTGCTTTTGTTTGTTTTCCCAACAGAAGAAGATGGCTCAAGACCGGCCTTTACTTGCTGTGCAGGAGGCCCTGAAGAAGTGCTTCCCGGTGGTGGAGGAGCAGCAGGGCCTGTGGGAGAGCACCTTGCGGGACTGCTCGCCGCTCCTGGCCTCCCTCAGCAACCTGGCAGAGCAGTTGCAGGCCGCGCTAAGCGTGCGGTTCCAAGATGTGCCGGCGCTCCGGGCTTTCCCGGACTTACAGGAGCGGCTGAGGCGCAAGCAGCTGGCGGCTGGGGACGTGGTCCTGGACAAGCTAGGGGAGAGGCTGTAAGGATTCCCTCGGTGCCATTTAGAAGGATGTTTAAACTGGGCGCTTTCAAGTAGCTTGGGTGGATCAGAAGAGTGTTTTTACTCGGGAGCATGGCATTTGAAGGTGTTTCGGCCCTTCCTTCTGTTGCGGAGGGACCACTGTCAAAAAGCCACTTTCTGGCATTTCCCTTGTCAGAAGCCAGGCATGTAGAATTTTGACAAGGGAAATGTCACAAAGGAAAAGGAGTGGAGAAGGCTTATTAGCCCTTCTCTATAGTTGTCTTTGGTAAAGGCAGCAAGGAACTGGGCTTTAAGCTTGGCAGGTGCCAGAACTGAAGGTTTTACATACTTTACCCATAAAGTCCTTTAATACCTCTGTGACTTAACCTCACTTCATTCCAGTTTTTGCAAGTGAGGAAATGGACTCAAGCAGGTTGCCCTTGGTCACACATCTAGTAAATAGTTGACTGGATTCCGACCCCCATCTTTTGAAAAACACAAAAGCCAGAGCTTTTTTTTTTTTTTTTTTTTTTTAAGTCCATCTTAAAATAAATATATATCTAAAATATTTATTTTTTAGTTGTAGTTGGACACAATACCTTTATTTTATTTTATTTGTATGTGGTGCCGAGTATGGAACCCATGGCCTTGTACCTGCTAGGGGGGCACTTTACTGCTGAGCCACAACCCCAGCACCTATTTTATTTATTTATTTTTTGTGGTGCTTTGGATCGAACCCAGTGCCTCACACATGCTAGGCAAGCACTCTGCCCCTGAACTATAGCCTCAGCCTTTTAAGTCCATTTTTTTATACCTTTATTTATTTATTTATTTATTTATTATGTGGTGCTGAGGATTGAAACCAGTGCCTCACACATGCTAGGCAAGCGCTCTACCACTGAGCGACAACCCCAGCCCCAGAGCTCTTAACTATCATTTGTTTTGCTGTGCATTCTCTCTGTGCCCAGGAGTAGCATGTTTAAAAGCTCTGGTTTTTGTCTTTTAACTGTTTTGTCTCTCAGTAACCAATAGGTTATGGTATTGAGAAGAGACAGGAGACAGGGCATATGTGGCCTTTCTTTGACCCCAAACAAAAAAAGTTCTAGTGCATAGTGTCTGTACCATATATGAATAGGAAACTGTTATTTGTACAAAATGCATTTTATTCTTTTGTACGCTTATACAAAACAACATTTATTAAGCACCTGTGGAATGCCAGGCACAACAAGGTGCCGTGAATACAACAGGGAAGCAGCCTTGAGTAGAAGAGATGTTGTGGTGTTCTAAGATAGTGAGGAGTGCAGCCTGAGGACGGGGGAAGCCTCTGGGAGGAAGTAATATCAAAAGCCTGCAGGATGAATTTGTGTAAAATGAGCCAAGATGTGGACATTAGTAATGTTGAAAAGAGAATAGTGGGCTGGAGCAGGGGACTGAGAGAGGAGGTTGGAGAGGTAATTAGCTCTGTTGAGCATATGATCTGTAGGTGTGTCTTTTGCTTTTGGATTGAGAGGAATTTGGTGAGAAGTTGAGGCCTAGGGTTTAATCCTTAGCACTGCAAAACCAGTGTGATTCATAACAGCCAAAAGGTGGAATCAATCTAAATGTTCATCAGATGAACAAATAAATTATGATAGAGCCAAACATTGAAATATTACTTGGCCATAAAAAGGAAATAAGCACCCATACATGCTACAACATGGATGAGCCCTGAAAACATTTTGCTAAGTCAAAGAAATCAGAAACAAAACATATATTGTATGATTTCATTTCTCTTAAATATCCAGAATGGACAAATTCACAGAGGTAAAAAGTAGATCAGTGCTTTCCTGGGGCCAAAAAGAAGGAGTGAATTGGAATAACTACTAATGAATTCAGGATTTCTTTGGGGGATGATAAAAATGTTCTGAAATAGGTGAAAGTGATGGTTGCACAATTTGGTGAATAGGTGAAAAAGTACTAAATTGTATTCTTATTTTTAAAAATTAGTAAACTTTAATTTTGAGAGCAGTTTTAAGTTTAGAGTGAAGTTGGGAAGTGTAGAGAATTCCCTAATGCCTTCGCCTCCACACATGTATATACTCCACTCTTACCTGTACCAATGTGGTACATTTGTTACCATCAGTGAATCTATAGTGACATGTCATTATCCCTGAAAGTCCATAACTTAACATTGGCTTTCTTGTTGATTTTGTATGTTCACTGGATTTAGAGAAATAGATAATGGCATGTATATACCATTGTAGTATACAAAGTGGTTTCATTTTAAGTTGTATGCCTTTTAAATTTTTTTTTTTTTTTTAGTTTTAGGTGGACACAGTATCTTTATTTTTATGTGGTGCTGAGGATCGAACCCAATGCCTCATGCGTGCCTCACTTGAGCCACATCCCCAGCCCCTTAAGTTGTATGTGTTTAAAGTATGGCTTGTTTCTCAATTTTATTTTTATTTATTTATTTATTTGTTTTGGTACCAGGGATTGAACACAGGGATGCTTAACCACTGAGCCATATCCCTAGCCCTTTTTATTTTTTATTTTAAGACAGGGTCTTGCTAAGTTGCTTAGGGCCTCACTGAGTTGCTAAAGCTGGGTTTGAACTCACAGTCCTCCTGCCTCAGCCTCTTGAGCCACTGGGGTTTACAGACGTGCCACCATAAAGCCAGCTTGTTTTTCAATTTTTAAAAATGGTGTATAGCTCAGTGGTAGAATGCTTAAAACAAAACAAAACAAAACAAAAAACATTCATGAGGCCTGGAGTTTAATCCTTAGCACTACAAAAACAAAAGTATAAAAAATTCCCCATGAGAGCCTGCCTTCCTAGAGGCACTTGTTTTCCTTTAGATCAGTGGCTTTTAGAGTTTGACCATGACCTATAGGGTGAAATACGTGTATCATGGTCCACATAAACACGTGCATACATATAAACTGAAATATTCCACAAAACAATGCTATGAGTATTACACTCTGATATTTTGTCTTCTGTTCTATAAGTCACAGACTACAAGTAAGCAGATCTCACAGTATGAAAAACAGCATTTGAGAGGATCAATATTGTTTTGGGAACTTTTTACTTCAATTGATTACATATTTGTGTGTGGGTGTTGGGTTGTTATTCTGTTTTTTCATTGTGAGTTATGGTCAAACTTTTTTTTCATTTTTTAAATTTTTATTTGTTATATATGACAGCAGAATGCATTACAATTCATAGTACACATATAGAGCACAATTTTTCATATTTCTGGTTGTTCATAAAGGGTCAAATATTTTTGAAAGACACAGTACTAGGCTGGGAAATGCCTTCTACTTTTGGAAGTTGTAGCCTTTGTCTTGATGGCTGGATCCTTTGGGGTCACTGATGAAATAATATTTACCATAACCTAGGCTCTGCTTTAAGCACTTTATATGCATTATTGTGTTTAGTTTTTAAAATAATTTTATTCACTCATTGATTTGTGGAATAAGTGTTTGTTCTGTGTGCTAGTCTAGTTCTGTATTGTGAGCAAAACAAGCTGTTTTTATGCATGGGGGAGAATAAATAACTTTCCACAGTAGTCTGCATCCTGAGCCCACACTTGACTGTTCAAGAATTTTCTAGAAAGGGTTAGGGAGCATGTAGATGGGAATGGTTTGTTGCTTCAGTACCCTCTTTATTCCCTTTTCTTGTACATGGCTTGAGTCTGTGAGTAAGCATTTGCTCTCCTTAGGTTATTCTGGGGGGGGGCAGTGCTGGGGATTAAACCTAGGGCCTTACACATGCTAAATAAGCATTCTGCCTCTGAGCTTAACCCTCAGTCCATCCTTAACCCCAGAAATGTCCCTTGGTCTTTACTTTCTTTGGCAACTGGGCTTATCCCACAGCTTTGAGAGCAATATAACTTTAGCTCCCCATTATAAAGTTATTTCTTAATTCTCCATCTACCTGTACCTCCAAAGCAATATCACCAATCTCCTTAGCTCATGTTCTCATTTGGGGGTAGTTTTTCTGTGAGGGGATATTTGGCAATGTCTAGAGACATTAGGGTGGAGATGGTGAGAGTGTGGTTTATTTCTGTCCTCTGGTGGGTAGAGGCCAGGTGTACTGTTAAACATCCTGCATGTGTGAGGTGGCCCTCCACAAAACAGAATCACCCAATTCAAAATGTCAGAGCGCCAGGATTAAGAAGGCTTGCTGCATACATTTCTCGTATTGCCTAATGCAGAGACTCTTCCACAGAGCAACCCTCCTCAAGGTGCGCGACACGGTCAGCAGCCATGTGGAGCAAGTGTTTCGGATCTATGAGCAACATGCAGACGTGGTCGGCCTTGATGCTGTTCTGCAGCCTTCGGCTGAGAACCCTTCTGTGGCTGACATGTTGGAATGGTTGCAAGATATTGAGAGACATTATCGAAGTTCATATCCTTTGCATACATTTCAGATAAGTGTTCAGAGATATTCCAGTCTCTTTAATTTTCTAATCACAAGTTTGGATTCACTCTCTTTGGTTCTTGAACATGGATTCCTCTTTGATTATTCTTTATTATGATTTCTCAAGTAATTTGTAACTAGCTACTATCTGCCAGTCACTTCTGTAGGTACTAGGAGACGGACATTAAAAAAGGAAAATATAAGGAGCATTTCAGATGATGATGAGTGCTGTGGAGCATAAAGCAGGGAATGTGAAGTATGATGGTGGGTTGTGGTTT